TCTCAGATCGATTCGGATGTATCGACCTGCAGCACAGGGGGAGATCAAGGCACGGTGGTCTCGGTATAACTTACGTCGTCTGTTTGTTTAATTTAATTGGCTTTTAATAAAGAACGTTGTGCAAAGGAGATTTTGGTGGGAATAGATCAGATTGTTAAATTGGCTTGCATGTGCCTCTTCAATTTATTATGTCACTCCTCCTCTGGAACTTTCACAGTTGTTGCCACCCAGGTCACTTCCGCATACTTAATGAAGATTTCTGGGAGATTTCCCTAATCGCTGCCCTGCAATTATCATGCTAACAAGTTGGTGGATAATTATAAGGTACTTGTCACTTGGCCCTTTCGAGCCTACTCACTAACATATTGAGTTTTTTCTTCCTTGTTGTAATTTTTTTTATCACGTTTTCTTTTACTTTTTTATAGATGGTAAAGTGTGGAGATTATTTTCAAGCGAGATGGACCTAGGGAAGTTGGTAATATTTCTGTTATTGTATGGTGAACACTACTGAAACTTCACTGTTGCGGCGCCTTTTAGAGGTGAACCATAGAGAGGTCAGATTATTTTCCTCTTGTAATGGTTGTGACGTTCAGGCTTTATATCTTTCTTTACAGACTGTCATGTGTAATAGTTTGTAGATGGGAGGATGTGAGATTCGGGAAGAGGTCCCCTTCTCTTGAAAACCATTCATTTAACTCTTGGCCTTTTGTAGTTGTAATGCTTAAACTGAATTCTTTCCTTAATGATAATATATCTCTCAACTATGTTAACACTAAACCCTTAGGCCACTCCAAATTTAACTATGGAAGCTTAATGAAATGATGGAATGTGCTCATGCTTTCCCGGGGGTGGTGGTTCTAGAACTAGTCATGGCTAAAATATAGCAGTTGATTCTTAGTCTTGTTTTTTGAAGTTTGGGGGGTTCTTTTGTATACTCTTCAAATATTATAAGAAAAATAACGATGGGAACTTTTATCAACATGAAATAAATGACACCCTTCAAAGTGATTACTCTACTATAATAACACATAGCTTTGGAAAGTTTTCTGGATGAGTTCCTAGTTATTCCGCTAATATAATCTTCCATATATAGGTGATTTGAATTAAACGTTGAGGAAGGAGAAATAACATAACTATAAAAAATAAACCTTCCTTGATTTGTTAGTTTCTTTTAATTTGGAGTTTTTTTTTTTTTTTCTTTCCTGTCCTAGGTTGTATATTCTTCTATTTTTTTCAAATTAAATTTCTTTTGCACCAAGATAAAAATTCCATATAATAACCTTTCATCTTTTTGTTTTTAAATGTTCTGCATATCAAGCAAAGTTGTGTGGAGGGTATCTATTTTGTTTTATTAATATTTTATTTTCGTGGTCTTAATGGCAATTTGTTGTTGAGTTAGATAGACACAAGAAACTTGAAACAAACCATTGATGGAAACCCAACTGGCATTGATTGATGGAAAACTATTTTTTAGTTAAGTTGGTGTTTAGGTTGATGGGGACAATTGCATCTATGCATACTAACCTGAAATATTATTCATCCCAAGCTATATATCTGGGGTTTACCTTATTGCCATATATTCATATTTTCCCCCTTGTAAACTTTCCTTTTCTATAAAAAGGAGAAAAAAACATAACAATTTTTTTGTTATAATTTTGAAATGCACTCAATTTCTCTTTATCATCAAGGTGTATTGCATCCTGTTTCATGCTAATCTTTATCTATTGTTTCAGGTAGAAGATGCTCCAATATCTGTTTTGCATATTCAGTATCCGGAATGGCCTGACCACGGAGTTCCCAAAGATACATTAGCTTGCGTGAAATTTTGAAAAGATTATACCATTTACCACCAAACCTTGGTCCAATAGTGGTCCACTGCAGGTTCATCTTGTTCCTTCCTTTTTTGTGTTTATTCACTTTATAGCAGTGATTGATGACAATATATCACGTGTACGTAGGTCTGAGACAACCTCTATCACTCAGTGCAGGTATTGGGGTAGAACTGGACATATTGCACAATTCACAACACAATTCAGAGAATACTTGCTGGTGATATGTCTGCTGTAGATATTGCTAACACAGTAGCTGTGTTCAGGGCCCAGCGTGTTGGAATGGTTCAGACCCAGGTATCAAGATTTGTTGATTTAATATTTAAGTACGATTAATGAATATACGGATTTTTTTATGAAATGGCAAGATTTAGGTGGGCTGCTTGTTTGTCAAGTTCCATTTCTTAACTAAATAAAAAGACAAGAGCTTTTGAAATATAAAATAGTGATGATATGGTATATTATTTTGTTTGATGGTAAAGAAGGCAGATTGTTGCGACGAACTAGGCTGGCTGGTTAGGCAAGGATGTATAAATTAGAAGTTTCAAAGAACATCATTCCTTCAGTGGAGAATCTATGAATTCCTTTATGTTGAGAAAAAAAGGAATATTGTGTTGCCCAGATTGGAACTCCTAATAATAATAACATTTTGTTGACAATGACGGCAGATTTTGCGAGGAACTAGGCCGATAGGAATGTAATCAAACCCTCTGTTGAGGAACCGGGTCCTCCTTTGAAGTATCCATCCCTGTTTTTTTAATTACACGAGAAGTGTGTTCTATCAACTAGTTTATTACTGGGATCATGCTCCTATTACTACTTTTCACGTGGAATATAGGGTAATTAAGGTAAAAAATTAAATAACATGTGGAGGCTCTACCATCGACATAAGTACTCTAAGAAAATAAGATGGGGTACGACTTGCTCTCAAACTAAAAATAAAAAGAAGGGAAATAAACTTGGAAAATTAATTTCCATGGTCTTGCACACACTGAGCAAAAACATGTTTTCATCAAATAAAAAAACTAGTGTTGAATGGAAAACGAGATAGAAGCACACGACAATTAAGATACGGTTGACACTATCAGCAACTGATGTACTGTCTTTGAGTTCAAGTTATTGACAATTAATCCACCAAAAAGTGCCATTGAACTTATGGAATTGAGACTATCTTTTTGAGCCTAATCACCCAACACTATTGTGATTCTTCATACACAATTGTTCAGTACTTCTAGCACAAATTTTTGTGCAAAGTTTTTTTTTTTTTAATCTTGAGCTTAGGGGCATTGGAAATCTTTTTTGAGCCTAATTCACCCAACACGATTGTTATTCTTTTCATACACAATTGTATTCAGTACTTCTAGCACAAATATTTTGTGCAATTCATTTTTTTAATCTTTGAGCTTAGGGCATGGAATTCATTTCTAGCTTTCCTGTCAGAAATTAAATGACCTGTTTCAAATTCTTGATCATAAATACCCTCCGACTAAAGTTTTGTATAGACATGTACCCTCCTAACAGACCAAAAATCAAGATAAGGAAAATTTCTATAATTTTTAAGAACAAGAAAGGAGGTTAATGTAATTGAGGAAAATCTTAAGGAAGATGACATGGTAGTCTTCCGTCCAGTAGGCTTTTTGGCTGAGGTAACCTCAGTTTACCAGACACTTGGGAATCGGTCCTAGTTGGGAGCTTATTGTACAGATCTGGCTCCTTATCTTAACCTGATATTCCTTCTCTCCATCCCCGTAATTTGTAATCATAAACCATTAGTATTGTTATTATTGTCTGGGCCTTTTCTTCTATATGCTTACTAGTTGACCCTTTTGGTGACTCTGCAATTATCAGGATCAGTACATTTTCTGCTATAAAGCTATCATAGATGAAACTGGAAGACCTTGGTATCTCAGCAGTAGAAGGGTACGTACTTCTGCTTCCTTTTCTAGTTTTTCATATAGTATAAATATTTTAGCTCCTCAAATTCTTTTTATACTGGATAGGATTTGTTTGAGTTTTCCTGTATTATGTAATTCTGCTATACCCTTTTCAAAGTTTTTATCTTGCTAGCTTGACGAATTGCTGTGTTTTGTGTGATGTAAATCCAGAGCTCGAAGGATGTTAGGCTGTTTGCCTCATTTTGAAGCTAACTTCCCATTCTTCGACCTTTTGTTTGGTTCATGCAATGCTCATGTCTCCCGGCAGCTGACACTGAAACATTAGCATTCTGGATATTTTATGAATTTGACTCTGTTATTCTCTAGCTTTTCATGTATAATGGCAGGAGGGGAAAGCTCACTGATATTAGCATCCTTTTGGTTATATTGTTAGAATTACATTGGGGAACAGAATGGCATAATTATTAATGGCTGCAATAATCAAATGTCCATTGCCCTACTGAAGTTATGTAATCCCATTTTATGTGCTTAGGTCTCAAGGTTAATCAACTGGCCACGATCACAGAAATATTTCAAATTTTATCGCGTTTTTATTTATTGGTGCATATTTTATATTTAGTTAACCTTTAAGAAAACAAAAATATTAGAAAAATAAAGCATGCGTTGACCGCATAAAGAAGTCGTACAATTATTCTATTGTAAAAAGTTAAATATATTTTTAATCCATTTTATTATGAAATTGAAATTATTTTGAAATTTTAATCTATTTTTGTTCTTAAGCTTTAAAAATAAATATATATTTTTTAATCTAATTACGTCAAATGATATTGAAGTGAAAACGTATTAAGTAGTATAAATAATTTAAATACTAATTTGAAATGTGTTTTGACATATAAAAAATATAAAAAATTTGAATGTAATTAGGTTGTAAATATTATATTTATTTATTTTTTAAATTTAAAAATTAAAATATATTAAAGTTTAGGATATTATTAAATTTCAATTTTATATAAAAATTAAGGGTTACAAACATATTTAATTTTATTATATATTATAACTTTATTTTTTAACAAGTATTGTCTTAGAATTCTTATTAAAGATTATTAGTGATTAATTGGCAGTGTAAAGACAAGTTCCAGTGAATTTAGGGTTAGGATTCTTTTTGTTAGAGTTTAAGGTTAGGATTTATGATTGGGTTTTATTGTTTAGTATATCCTAGTATCAAATCAAACTCAATGAAAGAAAGTAGCGGAGAGTTTGTGAATTCAGACCACTATTTTGAAAAATCCACTTACAGTGAATCCAGTTTCGAGATGATATAGCGAGGAAAGTGGGACTTTAGTAATCCCCTTAACAAAATATACTCAATAACATATTAATGTTTTAGAATGCCATATTTTTGTGATAGTAAATGTTTTCGCGAGTCTCTCTAAATTCAGCCACGTAATCATCGCAGCAGGTCTACGTGAAACCAAAACCTCGACTATCAGCCACGCATTCATCGCTGCATGTCCACGTGGAACCAAAACCTCTACAATCAGCCACGTTACCATCGCTGCATGTCTGCGTGGAACCAAAGCCTCAACCCACGTTTTCCATCTTCGGCTTATATATACGAGTCACGAGGGTATGATATTCCACACGCTCTAGAGAGGAGACTGAGTTAAACTTGCAATAGTTAATGGCCTCCACGGACAAGTCATCCGAACCAACTTCGGCGAAGGGTCCGGAACCAACTCCGGGAAAGGCGATGGGAGTGGGACAGCACATGATCGACAAGGGTGCAATGATGATACAGTCACTGGAACCCATAAAGCAGATTAGTCACCACGCGTGTTCCTT